AGCTCAGTGGCTGCTCACCTTGGGCCAGGACTTGAACCTGTTGCTCAGAGCTCAAACTCTTGAGCGAGCTCTTAACCAACTGAGCCACTCAGCCGGCCCTCGTTCCTTTTATAAGTATTTTTTATCTCAGAAAGAGAGTCCCGCTATGGCGCCTTTCATTAGCAAACTTTCCCAGGACTTCGAACTTTTTTTTTTTTCAATTTGCAAAATTTCACTTTGCCTATAGCTGCCAACGATTTTGTCTTTTGTGCAAAGGAAGCTCGTGACATTCAGTTTGGAATTCATTGTGTTATGGGTTTTTTTTCCCCCTACAGGATTTTTCATATTCATCTTTTACTGCGTAGCAAAAGAGAATGTCAGAAAGCAATGGAGGCGGTATCTTTGTTGTGGAAAGTTACGGCTGGCTGAAAATTCTGGTAAAGATGTACCTTACATTTTTCCTTCTCTTAAATCTTGAGGAAAAGGTTATATTAGAGTCAAAGCAATCAATGCCAAAGGGCTATGGGATCTGGAAATCAATGAACAGAAACTGCTCAATAGAAAATATTGATTGTGAACATTAGGGGGGAAAAGCCTAATGAATTTAAAAAAATAATTACTCATATCTGGGAACTTGGTGAGCAATAGAATTAATGGCTGGCTTCTTGAATACAGCAACAGTGAAATTTTTAGAATTTATTTCCTTTTGAGCTAATGTTTCCTATTTACCTAAAGTAATTTTTACCTTCATAACTTTTTAAGTCTTGACTCAACGTTGTATATAAGTTTTAGCATACGTTTGATTATAGCCTGCATTTGGTTATTTTGAAGTTACTGTATTTTCACATCTTGCTGGGTTGTTGAGCAAATAGCTCATTTTTAAGAAAATAAGAAAAATTAGTACTGTTTGAAAACTAAATTCCTTTTGCATAAATACCACACACAAATACAACCTTTGCAGTATTGCAAAGATCTGGTTGCACAAGATCTGTATTCACAAAATGGCAGTGCATGTAGTTCAGTCATTTGCATGGATTTAAGAACCATGAGTCATCACGACACAGTCGATATGTGTTCTTAAGACAGTCGTTGGCTATGTAAATCAGTGGATATTTATAGGCATAATCAAATTAGCTTGGCCTTTAGTTCCAAGAGAATATAGGTTACTTTTAACCAGACAGTCATTTATAGGACAAATGTATATAGCCTTAAATGAAAATACATTTTATCACACCAACTTGTGAAATGTGTGCCTACGTACTTCTCTGAAAGATCTGGAAGTGGGAGATCAGTTGCTAGAACAAGTTACACTGTGATCTGTCTCTTGCCTTTGAGCTTCAACATTCAGCCCTGTTTTTCTGTAATGTTTATTCTGCTGTAGACTGGAGTAAAACTGCTACTAACGGTTTAAAGAAACAGACTGTAAACCAAGGAGTGTCCAGTTCTTCAAATTCCCTACAGTCAAACAGTAACTCCACCCACTCCACCACGCTGCTAGTGAATAACGATTGCTCAGGACTCATGAGCGGGAGTGGTATGTATGTCTCAATATAGTATTTCTCAAGCTGGTATTTGTTTTATTAAAGTATTATTATCCTTTAATGGCATTTTTGCTAAGCAAAGAGAATAATCACATATATGACTGGTGGATCAAAGTGTGGTTCCCTTATATTTTTTGTGATGGGAATTGATGACCATCTAAAATTTTTAACATTGCAAATCCTGATTTAAGTACTGCCCAAAGACTTCAGTGCTGTGCTATTTCTGTGCAAATAGAACTTAAAATAGTTGATAAAATTATATCAATTTTTAGTACATCTATATTCATACACATTTTCAACACTTTTAAACCTTCCTATTCTTCTCTTGTCATGTTTGCTCATTCTTTTCCACAGTGTGGCTGCCTTGTGACAGTGCCCAAACCCCCATAAATATATCAAATACTGTGGCCACTATTGGTGAAAATATTTGTCACCAATATATGAATAGATTATTGCTGCTGCACCTCCTTTACTCATTAATTCTGACATTTCTAGATAAAACTTCCATTACATTTTCTTTCTTTCATAAGACTGGGCTGTTCATTAATCATAAAAGCTTATCTATATCTTCTTTGGCTTCTTAATATATATATTTTACATTGTATAAAAACTTCAATTCTGCTGGTACACTTTCTCCTTGCCTTTATTCATCATTTTAGGATATTAGTTATTTTCATGACAAATTCAAATAAATTTGTGAGAAGGTTCATACACCTACCAAATAGTGTTCCAACCTCCCAAAGGTGGGAGGTCCTGATGGTCTGTATAGACTTTTAAAATACAATAGGATGCCTCTAACTCCAGGTTTCTCAACCTCGGCACAAGTGACATTTGGAGCTAGATAACTGCTTGTTCTGGGGGTTGTCCTGTGCATTTGGGGATGTTTAGCAACATCTTTGATCTCCACCCATCAGATACCAGTAGAACCTACCCACTCACCCCCAGTTGTGACAACCAAAAATGTCTTCAGACATTGGGAAATGTCCTATGGGGGGTAAAATCTCTCCTCCAGCCCCATCTTTGAGAACCACTGCCACATATGATGAGAAACAGCTGCCACGTGGCCTTAGCTCTTCACTGTAGATACAGGGGAGAGCTCTAGCCCCTGTGCCAAATGGCTATACCAGGAATGATTCAATGTAGGTAAACAGAGTAGAGGCAGTGACAAACAAGTCTGATGCATAAGTTAGTATGAGAAAACCAGTTCCAAGTAGAGAAATCAGAGGTGTGAGGTGGGTAACCAAGAATCCTCACATTCACAACATATCAGTAAAGCCTCCTGGCTGGGACAGAAGCGTTTGGGGATCTTAACAGCCAGATTTTTCTATATTCATAGAAAGAGCTCAGAAATGAAGCCTCGCTTGCCTAGCCTATCAATATGATGCCATCCTTCAGGAAATCAGATTTGATGGAAGCAGCGCAGTGTGCACAGCTGTTTGGCAGGGCGGATTTGACAGAGCTATTTTTGCTGCATGACAGTGAGGGTGGGTGTGCATTTTAGGCCACCAAAATGGCCAAGCATTTAAACCACAGAAAATGCACATCAGATAGATGTCCCTGACTCCTCAGCCTGCACACCAGGGTCTGGAGTGGACAAAGGATGGGAAAGGCAATTTCAAACAAGAAGCTGGAAATTTAACACTTGGTTAATTATGCTAGGTAAAATCGTTCCTGCACCAAAATGTCAAAATCAGGACAGCTGCCTCAGACAGTCACGTGCCTTATTTTAGCTGTGTCAGAATTAAAGTTGTGTTAATCATATCCATCACATAGTTTGTGTGAATGTTACATATTTCTATTATTATCTGCCTTAGAGGCTTGTGTACCAGCAGCCATCTCACTTGGGACACAGGGCCACAAGCTCACAGTTTAGAAGAAACATCATGTGTTGACTCCGTCACTTCTGAGACATGTAACCTTAAGCAAAGCACTTAATTTCTGAAACCTTAGTTTCATTGCCTGTGAAATGGGGATAATAATTGTCCCCATCCCATAGGGTAATAATGAATAAGACAAGACTTACAAGTTCTCAGCACTGTTATTATTACTAACAAGTGGGCTCATTATTCAGCTTTCTACATTATGTTCCAATGGTATAATGGTCAGAAGGATGAAGTCAAGTAGCTAGAGGGTCTCAGCTGCTGTGCACGCCCTCCTTCCCCCTCCCCCCCCCACACAATTCAGGGTCTGCCTGGGGTGGGGGAGGCCCAGGTCCAAACCACAGATTCTCTAGAATGCCCCGCTGCCTTCTGGCCTGGACTCTGAGGTTGGAATTGGTGGCTTAGTCTTGCGATATCAGTCCTATCCTGACATAGTCAGACGGACTGGTTTAGTCTACAAAAGACGACTTTTTTCTTGCTGTGACTGCTGTTGCTCTGGGTTTCTCTGGTACAAAGGTTTATTTTATAGGAATCATAGGGAACCAAGAACCTTGTCAGAGGATATATGGGGATCTCTGTTAACCTCAACCTTTTGGGGGAGACCAGAATATCACATGAGGTTATATTTACACATAGGCTACTATTTGATGTCAATGTATGTTCAACCAGAGTTAGGAATGGGCCCTTTAAAATCAATTCTATTGCTTTGTTCCATATTTTGACCATCTCACTTTTAAAAACTGCTACAGAGAACCAGTTTTGGAAACATTCTCCAATTTGTTTTGTTTACTTTGAGTGAACTTAGGGAGGGGATGAAAAGTAAGTAAAATATGACATTATAAGTATTTTTTTAAAAAAACATGTTTTATGTGTGTATACTTAAGAATAAAGTGATGTTTATGTTTGTTTCTTTTTAAAATGCTTTGTGTGGATACTTCATGACACCAGTTTTGTTTTTTCTTCATATAGGGAATGCTTCTACGGAGAAGAATGGTATTTCCTTCAGTGTTCAGAATGGAGACGTGTGCCTTCATGATTTCACTGGAAAACAGCACATGTTTCATGAGAAAGAAGATTCCTGCAATGGTAAAAGTCGTATCGCTCTCAGAAGGACTTCAAAGCGGGGAAGCTTACACTTCATTGAACAAATGTGATTCTGTTTTCTAAAATCAAAGCATAATGCTTGACGGTGTGAAAATGTCCAATTTTACCTTTTCCACAATGTGAGATGTATGAAAATCAACTAATTTTATACTCAGCAACCTCTGGAGGAGCATAAGCTAATTGAGGGCAGTGGTTACTATTGGAAGAGGAAACCAAGGCATTTTTCCATGGTTTTCAGACATTTGCAATTTGGTTTCTTATCCTTCATTTTTTTAAAAGAAGACTGGTTTTAAACACCACACTGAATAAGACTCGTTTAAAGAAAATAATAGTTCATTTCCAGCCACATTTTAAAGAGGTTATGTTATCTTTGATATCATCATATAAAGCAACTGTTGACTTCAGCCTGTTGGTGAGTTTAGTTGTACATGCATTTGTTGTAAATAAGCTAACTCTAGTGACCCACATGTCAAAAATCTTATTTCTACATTTTTTTGTATTTATTTTCTACTGTGTAAATTTATTTCTGTGTAGAATCGTGGTTGTGTTATTGTCTCTAATGTGATAATTCAGAAAATCCTTGCTAGTCCAGTGAGTTCTAAAGCTCCTTTTGGAGATTATATGGGATGTGAAATACAGCAACTTCACGCAAATCAAGAAATAATGATGCCAGCCAGACTGAAAAATGTAAGCAGACGGTGCCACACTTAGCTCTTATAGTGCCTTTGAGAGAGTTAGAAAAAGGTGCCCCCACTACAGACACAGCACCATGGGCTCATGGTTTGGCAAACAGAGTGGGGGCCACATTTTAGCCCTACTCACCCTCTAGGGTGCACTCTTGTATGGGGTATGAACTGAATACAGCTGGAAACACAGCATCTAATACCAATATCCATCTCCTGACCTCATTCCTAATAATCAAATTATAAAATTTGCACCAAGATATTTAGCTTAATACCTTGGCCAAACAGAGGGGTGGAACTGTAATCTAGACCATAGGTCAGGAAAATTGTGAATGCGGAGGATACTACACTGCCACTTCTCAAATCCCCAGAGCCTTTCAGAAAAGGGGAGTAGAGTAGAGATTACTTTTTAAAAGAGTTGTATATAAAGAAAAAAAAATCATTTTGCTGTTGTTTAAAAGGCAAGTGCATGGTACTTTGGCGATTGTTATGACTGGTACACTCTGGCCCAGTCAGAGCTATAATTATTTTTAAAAGATCTCTAGTCTCGAAGAGTGTATAGTGATAAGGGGGAACCAGCTACTGGGAATGGTGAACTATCCTGCAATGCTATTGTTTCCATATGTATCAAACCCTGATTGCTCCTAGTTATAGAGGGTCTATCTTGCTTCCCACCTATAGCTGCTTGAGCAGTGCCTCAAGTGTGTCCTTATTAGGAACATTTCAAAACCCTTTAGTTAGATCTTCTACTCTCGCATATATTTCATGTGAATGTTGTATCCCAGGCTAACAATAGTAATAATGTAATACACTTCTGTGAGTGCTGATTTGCCTTTGCAATATTTCTTCTCTGATTTATTTAATTGTCTTGTATTTAAATGTTAAAATTGACAAAAATGTTAAAATCGAGAAAATAAATTTGCAGTTAATTCCTTTATGTTTGAGAACTTTCACAAAGAGGAAACGTTTGCAACCTCTTTCCCTGGCGGCATGGCATGGAAGTGGTACGGCGGGCCTGATTAAGACGACATGACAGTAACATCCTTTGGTGAACAGCAGGCACACTGGCTGCAAAGTTACAGCAAGGATTGCTCTGCCTCACGAGCTCAGTTTCTGAGGTCTCTCTTTCATTTTTCCCTTGTTCTTTCAAGATTATTTATTTAATACATATTGCCATTGGCCTACATGAACCCCAGATTCGGATGCCCTCCAAGTGTCTGCTTTCTCAGCATTGAACAGTAGGATTTCAAGAAAGTGAGAACAGGATTTGGGGTTTCTGGGGAGCTGATTAGCATGTGGAAGTTGGCCTCAACTCCCCAAGAAGTCTCTAAGCAATCTCTCCTACAATGCTCAGCTGCCTCAAAGATGTTGAGTATTAAACTGATGAAGAAGGTGGTGCGAGGCCTTAGATTTAAGGGGTGAGATCTGAGAAACCCAATCTCCTGAAGCAGATTATGTAACCAAAGCATACACAAGAGGATGCACAAAGTCTGATGTCCTTTGCGTCCAGCCCCCCTTATTTTTCCTATTGTGTTTTGTGTCCTGGCTGTGGTTCTTAAGCCAGATTCTCTTGTCTATTTTTTTTTCTTTCTTTCTTTTTTTTGTTTTGTTTTATTATTTTTTATTGTGAAATGCATATTTTTTAGAATTCATTTCAGCTGTACAACGCAGTGCATAGTTATACTTTTTACCCCTTGAGGTGACAGCCCCCTCCCCCAATCTGCTGCCCCACTTCCCCCCATCCTCCTTTGGGTTTAAAATTGGTCCCATAATCTGAGACTCTATTGAAGGAAGTAGAGGTGGTGCCGATACGAGGAGGCAAGGAGTGTAACAGCAGTGGCCAGTATTTGAAGGAGTATTTCCTCAGAACGTTGGAGAAGTTTTTTCCCAAAACACACTGCAATCATGAATCCCTAAAGTAGCTATTAACTTCGATGAGCAGCATCATGATGGCTCTCAGCAAAAATGGTGAAATGGCTCTATTTGGGATACTGGGTTCTGTCTAACAAGGTCGCCTAGGAAGCAGATTAGTTTGTTGAAGGCCATTTTGAAAAAGAGCTAATTTACTGAACGAGCAATTTATCAAATGGACTTATGTGTTGTCATTTTGTCTCCACAAGAGCATTTGAAGGACTATTCAGTTTGTCTGCCTTAGCTCCTTGCAGCTACAGTTGGAGTCTGAAGGACAGGAAAGAGGAGAGACTGGTCATAAGAACATAATCTTTTTTTTTTATAAAGTTTTTTTTGTGTTTTTTTTAATTGGGGAATTGGGGGAGGGGAACAATGTTGGGGAATCGGGGAAGGGGAACAGACAAGTTGCTGTCCTTTTGTTCTTCAGTCTAGTTGTGGAGGACGTTGCTTCACTGGCCCACGTTGGCACTCTTCCTGGGCGAGGCAGATCAGTCACCAGCTTCTGGATGGCCGCTTACGGTGGCTCTTGGCAGCTCACGCCAGCTGCCGGCTACTCACAGTAGCTCAACACAGCCCACTGCAGCAGGGGCTGCAGCTGGTGCCAGGGACTCACGGCAGCCCAGCTCCAGGTTGAGCTGTTGTTCACCATCTTAGCTGTAGAGGGCAGTGTCACTGGCCCGCATGTGGGATCCGAACCAGGGCTCTGCTGCTCAGAGCTGGCGTCCCAAGTCAACTCTTAACCAGCGTGCCACTCAGCCAGCCCCGAGAACATAATCTTAAATGGGAAGAATTCTTATCAGTATATTCTTTTTTCTTTTCAACTCAGTCTCTAGGAACAGCATCAAAAAGTTGGGGCAGACAAAACTGAATACATTCTTTGAGAATATATTCTTTAAATATACTTATAAATATGTTCTTTTCTGTGAAGAAATCCCATGCTCCCTGGTGTTTCCTCTATTTACCTCTCAGTCTGAAACCAGTTATAAGAAGCTGAAGCAGAGACAAATTCAACGTTCTTTAAAATACTGTGATTAAAAAACAAGATGATCTCCAGTCAACTAAAGTTAAACTGTCATATTGGGTTGTCGGAAAAGTCATGACACATGTTTGCGACAGATGGCACTAGTGCATTTTTGGAAGTACTAGAGTCATTCACATCTATGTTATTGCTATGTCATTTGACAGCTGACAGTTCTAGCTTCATTCTAAAAAAAACTGAGTGATTTGGTTGAGTTTTGGAGATTTTACAACAAGTTGAAGATGGAAGACCAAACTTCATTTTTGCCATATTTTACTATTTTATTTCCATAAAGGGAAGAACGCACGTCAAACTTGTGAAAAGTTGCATATGATGACGATGCTCTACAAGAATGTCAGTGCCAACGATGGTTCACAAAATTCTGTGCTGGTGATTTTGATCTCAATGACGCTCCTCGGTCAGGGAGGCCCACCAAGATTGATGACCACAAAATAAAGGCATTGATCAAGTCAAACCCACATTACACGACACGAGCAGAAACATTGAATATCCATCATTCAAGCATTCACAACCACCTGAAGAAGCTGGGATACGTAAGCAAGCTCGATATTTGGGTTCTGCATGAACTCAAAAAAGTTCATTTGACGGTGTGTATAAACATCTGCAATATGCTCATTAAACATGAGGAAAACGATCCTTTTTTGAAGCGACTGATAACTGGTGATGAGAAGTGGATTGTTTACAACAATGTGGTGTGCAAACAGTCTTGGTCCCGACGTGATGATTCTCCTCAAACGACATCGAAAGTAGACATTCATCAGAGGAAGGTTATGCTGTCAGTGTGGTAGGATTTTAGAGGTGTCGTGTTTTTTTGAGCTCCTACCAATGAACCAAACAATCAATTTGAATGTGTACTGTTGGCAATTGGACAGTTTGAACTAATCCATCATCCAGAAACCTCCAGACCTTGTTAATTGTAAGGGAGTTGTGATCCATTGCGACAATGCCAGACCACACACAAGTTTGATCACCTGTCAAAAATTATTGGAGTTTGGATGGGATGTGTTGCCACATCCACCATACTCGCCTGACCTTGCACCGTCAGACTTCCACTTGTTTCGCTCCCTTCAAAACTCCTTGCGTGGTATCACGTTCAATTCAGATGAGGCTGTAAATCAGCACCTTGTTCAGTTTTTCACAAATAAAGACAGGTCCTTCTATGAACGAGGAATTATGAAGCTCACTGAAAGATGGCAAAAGGTTATCGAACAAAATTGGCAATATATCACTGATTGATCTTTGTTCTTTATATAAATAAATCACCTTTGAAAAACATAGACAAAATACATCATGACTTTTTCAACAACCCAATAGCAATAACTAAATTTGGCTAATCAGCTATTGTTAACAAATTGGTTCAGAATGGGCCCTCTCCTCTGTGTTAACAATGGAGTGCTTTTTTTTTTAAGTCAAAGACCTGAACCTGCTAAGAGAAACATTTGTTGGTCTCTGCTTTGGATGCTGACAAGTGGCTCTCTGGGAACTTCCTTGGCTGAAGTCCCTGTGTCAGGAGAATGGGTAGAACCTCTGGTTGGGGTCAGAGAAGTCATACATGGTGCAACCCAGGATCCGGTTCAGAGTTTACAACTTTATGAAGATCACGAATCAGCTTCAGAAACAATAACATACCCCATCACATTCCATATATGATTCTTGACAAAATTTGAGAAATGACCCGGAGATAGGTTTCTATTGGGCTATAACCAGAGAAAGGCTTCATGGATATGGTGACCGAGATATGGAGGTTTTGTATCTCAGGCACATGAGGATACTAAGATATGTATCTGATTTTTAAATAGCACAGCTTCTAGCCAAAAATGAATCACTAAAATTCACTTGAAAACGTAAAAGTTAATTAGTCGTACCCTTCTTTTTTAGTTTTATCCCTAAATTTCAAGATTATTGAAAAATATAGCTTGTAGGATAATATGCGTTAAAGCATAGACCAAAGCTTAAGAATATAGGCTTGGCTGTATGCCAAAAAGGATATATGTGTATATAGCAGAATTTATAGAGAATGAGATCAAGAAACTGAAAATGTTTCTATATTGCATGGATATGCCAGGTAATGAGCAAAGGTCATCAGTTATTTCCCCATGGCTGCTAAATGGACTCCTGAAGAAGCACTCAGTGTGAACAAAAACAATAATGAAAAGCAATGATCCCAGCTTTTAGATGCAGAAGAATACATGAGAGTTCGAGTAAGAATACATAGTCAGGGGCAGTTGGTTAAGAGCTTGCTCAAGAGTGCGAGCTCTGAGCAACAGGGTCGCCGGTTCGATTCCCACATGGGCCAGTGAGCTGCGCCCAAGCTGAGCTGCCACGGAGCTGCCAACAGGTGGCAGGATGGCTCAGCTGTTGAGAGCACGTGCCTCTAACAACAAGGTTGCCCGTTCGAGATGGTGGGCTGTGCCTGCCCGCAACTAAAGACTGAACTCAGAACCTTGAGCTGAGCTGTCGCCCGGGTGGCTCAGAGGACAGAGTGCACGCTCTCAACAATGAGGCTGCTGGTTCGACTCTCACATGGGATGGTGGCTACACCCACCCGCAAGTATTGGGTTGTCAGAAAAGTCATGACCCATTTTTGCAACGAAAAACAGAAAAAATACGTCATGACTTTTCCGACAAACCAATAATTGAACACAGCACCTTGGGCTGAGCGACGCGACTGGACTTGGAGCTGAGTTTGCTGCACCCTCCACAACTAACATTGAAGGACAACAACTTGGCTGTTCTCCTTCCCCAATTCCCCAACACTGTTCCCCTCCCCCAATTCCCCAATAAAATATTTTTTAAAAAAGAATACATATTCAGATTCCAAAAGAGATTTAATGATATAACATAACGTCTAGTTTTATTTACCCCTATACCATAGTAAATCCTGCATCGAGGCACATCACATGGATTGCCACATAATTTAAGAAAGTTATCCAGATTAATTAAGAAAACAAAAACTGTGAGATGATGCGGGGTTTGGTGCTTTAGTTGAGTGACACAGATTTATGTTAGGGAATTTTTTCAATGAACTTGGTTAAGGACCATACATACGGGGACCCAGATGAGCAGGACTAATTTTCTTTCATTCATTCATGCATACATTCAACATTAATTGAGCTACAACTACATGCCCAATACTGTACCAAACATGATAGGAGATACTAAAGACTGTTTCAATGATTATCTTACAATCCAGTTAGAAAAACATGCCGCACGTGAAAAAAAATTACAATGAGGCAACACATTATTGTCAAATAATGAAAACACCTATGATTTATGAAATACTGTACTTTTCCATGAGCCAGGCATGGTGCTAAGTGCTTTATATTAATCCTCTTAATCTTCATAGCCACCCTAGGAGGTAGGTGCTATTATTATCCCCATTTTACAGATGAGAACAGTGCATGTGAGAAACATCATGCCTAAGCTCACACCACCTGTAAATACCAAATCTGGAATTTAAACTCAATTTGAACCGACTCCAAGACCTAAGCTCTCAGTAAAGAAATTGTTATGGGAATTCGGAGAAATGGGGAGGGTTAACAGGAGGGAGGAGCTGAGGGGGCCCTTAAAAGAAAGATGGCGAAGGAGGAGGAACGGCCTACTGGCACACAGTAAACGCCTGGAGACTAACAAAGAGCTTGCCAAAACGATTACGTTAGCGGAACTGTCCAGTGGAATTATATGGGGCCAGATTTGGGTGGAAAATGAATACTGGGCTGAAGATTGTGAACTGTAGGTAATTATGGGCCACGAGAAATTAATGCTAAGTTTCAAGTTGTAGGCCTATAGGAGAAGAACCGCAGGCCTGGCCAGGCGAGCGGCTTCCAGGTGACTAGGGGTGGGATCAGGGGCGCTGGGGACCCTGCCCCAGCCGCCCCCTTTCTCTTCCGGACTGGACCCCACTACTCAGCTTCGGTTCGGAGGCGGAGATTCAGCCAGGGGCAGCGCTACGAACCCGGCCCGCGGAGGGGGTCCCTGGTGGCCGCGGTAGGCGGCTCTATTACTCCCGCGTGTGGTGAGGTTGGCGGCGCATCCCGGGAGCCTCCTCACGCCTGCCTCGTCCCCCGCCGGAGCCCGTTCTTTACCCCTCCCCTTTCTGAGGGTTCCGCTCAGTAGCGGGGCCAGACTTGGGGGCGGGGCTAGAGGGCGAGGAGAGGCGGGGCCGCTATCGACGAGGGGTGTTTGGGGCGTTCCCGGCGCCTAGCGGAACCTTCGCCTACCTTGCTCGTCAGGCCGGGCTCCGCTCGTTCAGCCGCGCTCCGGGGCGGAGCCGGAGGCTGCCCCATAGGCGGGGCCGGGGCCGGGGCCAGTTCCCGCGCGTCGCGGTGGCCGCGGCGACAAGGTCTGTTTCTCCAGCCTCCGCTGGGGTGGGCTGCCGGCAGGGAGGTAAGGGTCTCAGGGAGGCAAACTGGTTCCCGCCCGAAACCGGGTTCTTTGCTGGGGGTGGGCTGCCGGCGGGGAGGTAAGGGTCTCAGGGAGGCAAACTGGTTCCCGCCCGAAACCGGGTTCTTTGCTGCTCTGCGGACCACCCCTGTTTTCCTTCCCCTCAGGCCGCGGCTTAGAAGGTTCCGTTCCGCGGCGGGGGCGGGGCCGAGGCGGGGGCGGGGCTGCGAGTGGGCTGCGCCAGGCGGGAGGGTAGGGTGGGTTGCCCTACCCGGGCCCTGCTCACGACTGCCTGAAGACAAAAAAGGCTCGGCGCGGGTGTCGTCGCTCCACGCCCTGGAACCCAGGTCCCCGCTTCTCCTGCAGGGCCGCCAGATCTCCAGCCCCTGTCTTCGCCCCCGCGCCTTCCAGCTGTTCGAAACTGTGCTTGACTTGTTTTCCAATCATACTTGGTTTCTGTCATTTTTGTTAAGTCCAGATCTACGATCGACGGGCTCCTTCCCCAGAACTGCCCGAGGCTGTGAGTGTTTGGGAACCAGGCCCGCTTGGCTGCCATAGCCTGGGCGTCCCACCTCCGCTCAGCAGGTCAGGCACCGCGCGGGCCCCGGGAGCATCGCGGAGATGAGGAGCAGGAGCAATTCCGGGGTCCGCTTGGACGGTTACGCGCGGCTGGTGCAGCAAACCATCCTGTGCTACCAGGTAAGGAGGGACCATCCCGAGCTGCCCTCTCCTGGCACTCGTTCTCCTACCCAGCCCCCTCTCGTGTCCTGAGAGTTTGCAGTGAAGAGGTTTCCTCTTTAAATTCAGTCCTCGTTGGCCTGTGATTACCCCCACCCCCATTCCCACCAGGTCCTCTAAGAGTCAGGGGACCGAAGGGCTGTGTGGCTACTCTTCACAGAATTTTTTGCCCACTGTTTGGGATCAAACACAGAAAGAACCCCTTGGGTGCCCTGGGTATGGGTACAAAACGAGGTTTTTTGCATTGACTGCATCTTATGGATGAGAGAGGAGGTGGGTGGAGGTTGGACAGAGCCCGCTGAGTGAGGATGGTGGGCCTCTGAGCCATCCTAATGACCCAAGTATTGAACTCTGGACTTGGAGGACAGTAGACAGGAGTGAAGAAGCTCCTGAGGTTTGCAGCTCACTCTGGAGAGTGGGGTGAGTGCTGCTGCCCCGCCTATGGGTCACCTTGTTAGAGACCCACCTGTGAGGGCCTTAGGGCTTACTCTGGTTGCTATTTTACAGATGAGAAAACTGGGGGCCGAAAAGGTTACTGCATGTAGTAGGGTCAGACCCAAACACAGGTCTTATGCTCCCAAGTTCAAGGAGACCTGTAAAGCTGCCCATGTGGTCTGAGGTATGAATATGCCTGCTCTTTTGTATTACTGGGCTAATGTTATATGTGGGCCCATCATATAGACAATTGGACTATTTTTATTCCTAGTGAGGACAGCAGCTATGTTGCTTGCCCTTAATCAACAGCAACTATTTATAGGACCTCCTGCCAGAGAAGAAAGTGGCATTTGATGGTTAGAGGCCTGGCCTGCAAGTTGGGAGCCATGGTCACTTCCAGGGCACTGACCACTTTCCCTTCTTAACCAAATTCTCAGCCTTGTATCCTCATTCTGGAAATACTTTTTGTGTACCTATTATATGCAAGGCACTCTGTCAGGTGCTGGGCTTACACAGAAGAATAAATGCTTGTAATGAAGTGAGATTTATGCATAGGGTATATACGTCCAGAGTCCCTTGTCTGAAATCCTGGGGGTCAGATGTGGTTTGCAAGTCAGAAATGTTTGGATTTTAGAAAGGTAATATACATATGTTATATATTCTATAAGGTAATATACATATATATTCTATAATAACTGCAGTGGAGTCTTGACAGCACCCCTTCATCAAACACATTATTATTTCCACATCAGAATATGAAGATTCACACTGAGAAGGAAAAGTAAAGACTGAAAATAGTTTCACATCAGTTCAGGTCATCTTTTGCCACCAAATGAGCCTTCTGCAAACTTATGAAAACACTTTCAATTTTCAGAGCTTATTGGCTTTTGAAATTGCATGGGAAGGATTGTGGTTCTATTTTGGGGGGTTAGCCCAGGTTGGGGAGCAGGGGAGGAGTCCTGGAAGAGATGATGTTCAAGTTGAAAACTGAAAGAGTAGACAGGCGAATGGAAGTTATTTTTTGCCTTCCTCTTTGAAATATATTATGATTACATCTACAATGTGTTTTAAAATTCAAGTTGAAAGGTCTTTGCTTTCATTACTGAGATAGAAGGGGCTGTAAGACTGACGAAGCTTGGTTCCTGGGTTTAAATCCCTAGCTCTGCCTTAAACGTCATGTACTCAACCTCTGAGTCCATGCCCTCATCCGTAAAATGGGATAATAACACCTGCCTCCATTGAGGTATTGTGAAGAAAAACCTAGTGCCCTATGTGTTGCCTGGCACCCAGTAGGCAATCAGTAAATAGTAAGTGCTTGGTGGTGTTATGACTCTGATATAGGCCACACATACCCAGGCCACATGTCTTTGTCTCACCACCCTGACCCATGATGCTCCCTTTCCAGAAGGCCCATATCCAGCTACTAATTGCTTTTTGGTCTTTGAACATGATTACCTGTTCCATTGATGTGGTGAGATCCTTAAGCATAGAGACTTCATTAGTTTTGTTCTTTTTGCACCAAGTGGTGCTCCAGGCAAATGAAAGGTACCCTTAAGTCCTTGGTGATAGAATACTTCCTGCAGGCTCTGAGCCATCCTGATGACCTAGCTATTGATCCCGGCTTGCCGTCCCCCAGGAGCAAAAGAACTGTCTTCTCATTAAAGCAAATCTGCAGCGTTGGACTTTCCTCTCTAACATTTTAATGATTAAAAAGTTGTCTGAGTCTTTAGTTGTATTTATTTAGGGGGTAGTTGGTGAGAAGCCTTCATGTTTGCCTTCTTTTCCCTGGCTGCACTGTCTGGCTAACCAGAATACTCTCAAGTACGGTTCTGCTGGGAGATCCTACCCCTTCCCACCTTCCCCCACCCCGCCCCAACAACTAATCTTCACAGTGTAGACCCCTAACCCATTTAGGGCAATTTTAGGTTATGCAGTTTACCACACACAAAAAATGAATGAGCTAGAATAATGGTTTCTAAAGTTTATGCTGTATCTCCCCATCTACTGTAGATATGTGCAGGTATTTTTGAGGCATTGTTCAATGTCAGCTGGTACAAGTTCTAAACTCTGCTTTTTAAAATTATTTTATTTATTTATTTTTGTTGTTTTTATTGGGGAACAGCCATGGTCATTGGTTACACATTGCTTTCATGCTACAATGGCATAGTTGACTCTTTTAGGGAGGGCGCAGCTCACAGTGTCCTATGTGGGGATCACACCAGCAACCTTGGTATTATCAGCACCATGCTCTAACCAACTGAGCTAACTGGTCACCCCCTGACTTGCTTTTTAAATCAAGATCAACTTACATTGATTTCACCTGTTAGAAATCCTTCAGTGTTAAATATGTCAAACTCATAATCAGTCTTCTGTTAGAGTCAATAGTTTCTTCATATCAGCTAGTATGTCAATTCATTCCTTTTCCTGTATCTGGGGAAGAGAATAATTTTTTCCATTACTAAATTGCCAGGTATACTTTCTGCTAAATGCTATTTGAATCTTCAAGGCAAAGAAGGAAAGAGCTATATTTATAAAAGTGTCCTTTTTCAAGTTTGATTTTATACACAGAGAGAATATAAATATGTCATATAGGAATACAAGTATTTGGAATACTCCAAATATTTGTTGACTTAAAAAAAAAGAAATTCCTAGATTTATTTTGGCCCACATAAGAAATACTAACTTTGTACATTTCTTCAGTATAAGCTCTGTTGGAAGGATCACTCATGAAAGTGTTAAGTACAAAGTGGTGCGAAGAGAATATGGACCAGAAAGAAAAATAATGATCAAGGCAGTGTTCACTGTAACTGCAGATTGTTTGATATTAAAGGCAGGTAAAAGACCAGGACAACAACTAAATATTGCTATTTAGTGCCAATGGAATTTAAAATGAGAAGAGTGGGATAACTAAGACATGGAGTAATGCAACAAACAGTAATAATTATAAAGACTAATTTGGGGGAAGGTTAAAAAAATAATTAAATAGTGGAAAGTAATAACATGGCAGAAGAATGGGAGGAGACTGAAGTTAAGGCATTCTAAGACCTTTATCATGTTAAGAAGGAGGCTAGAGGTAGTACATATTTTAAGTCAGGAGTTATGTTTAAGCATTGCCATTAATGTAATATAAATGGAATACATAACTTTGGAAACAATGGAGGAACAAAGAAAATTTGACCACTCCAAGAAAAGGAAGGAAAAGAGTGCTTGGGGAAAGAAGGAAGTAAAAAAAATAAAATAAAACATAGTAAACATAAAGGACAAAACAAGAAGATGCAAATAAGTCCAACTATATTAGTAATCACAATAAATGTAAATTCTTAAATTAGCCAGATAATAGGAATTATTTTATTAAAAACTTGAAAGATACATGTGGTTTAGACGAAACAAAACCTAAAACAGAGGACACTGAAAGGTTCAAAGTAATTTAGTGGGACAAGATATACTAAGCAAATTCTAACAACAAAAAAATTGTTGTAATCATACTAATGTCAAATAGTACAGTAGATTTTGATATTTAAAATACAGTATATATATATATATATGTATATATATATAAATAATTCGAGATAAAGAACGTTATTACTAAGTGATAAAAGGATAATTCACCAAGAAAAGAAAGCAATTTTAAGCCCACAGAATACTAACAATATAGCTTCAAAATGTATAAAGAAAAACTTGACCTAATTGTAGAAGTTAAATCCATAATTATAGTGGAAGCTTTAAAACTCCCCTCTCTCAGATACTAATAGATCAAGCACAGAAATAATTGGAACATAGAAAATTTGAGCACCATCAGAAACCAACTTGATGAAGTATACATACATAGAACTCTGCGCCTCACCAATAGAAAATAGTTATTTTTCAACCTTGCAAAGTTTATTTTTCAAAAATTGATGACAAATTAGGGTATAAAGCAAGTATCACAAAAAAACCCTGAAAAATCAACTTTATGCACGCCACATTTTTTTTTGCCAAAATGCAAGAAAATTAGAGAGCAATAACAAATGACTGCTAAAGCTCTCCCAAGTATGTTTGGAATCTTACTAAGCTCACTTCTAAATATATCTAAATAGATCATGGATATACATGTCATGGATATATACATGTGTCATGGATCTAAAAAGAAATTATAATGGAAATTATGAAATATTTAGAACTGAATAACAGGAAAAGCATTCCAAACACAAATTTATGGGATATAGCTAAAGTGGGATTTGAAGAGAAATTTATATCCTGAAATGTAATATAGTAGAAAAGAAGAAATATTTAAAAATTAATGAACTCAAGATTGCAAAGAGGACAACAGAGTGCACCCAAGAAAATAGAAGAAAGGAAATAATAAGATAGGAGTAATAAATAATGTAATATAAAATAAATAATAAAGATTGACAATATCAAAAGCCGTTTTTTAGAAAAGGCTAATTAAAAGCTAACCTTCTGGTAGGGCAATGGAAGAGGAGGCACAAATAAACAATATTAGGAGAAAATGGGAAAATACTCTGAATAATTTTTTACATAAATTC